TTTTCTCCCATACTTCTTAAAACAGCTACCAACTCAGTAGTGCTAACATTATGACTCTAATCGCCAATCTTTGCCTTTGTATTAACATTGTTATCTCGCGTATCTCGCTCTTTCCCAAACTTGGATGATGAACCCGCATCTCTGTCTCTTGATCTAGAACCGTACCTCATATTTTCTTGTTTAGAACGTGAATCCCGTCCCGCTGGTCCCATGTAAGGTTTGTACATGTTCTTACCGGACCTTTTTCAGTTTCTGGTCACATGTAAGGTTCGTACATGTTCTTCTATTTGCAGCTTCGTACTATACCTGTTGTAAACATCATTCCAAGTTGTAGCAGGGAATTCTCGCAAACTTTCGTTGAGCCTCCTCGTGGCTTCTGAGCTTTTTTCATTTAAGTTACTTGCAAACTCTATGGCCGCCCAGTTATCGGGTACCCACAGTAACATCATTCTTTAACACTGGAATCTATCCATAAATTCCCTGGGTAGCTCTGTATCTCCTTGTTTTATCTTGAAGATGTTTTCCTTCCTCTTTTCAACTTTTTGAGCCCCTAAGTGTGATTTTATAAATGAATCTGCAAGCTCAGCAAAAGAATCAATAGAATTTTCCGGTAAAAGAGAATACCATGTTAGTGCTCCTTTTGTGAGTGTTTCGCCAAATTTTTTTACCAGCACCAACTCATTTTCTTGCTTGGTTAAATCATTGCCTTTTGCACCAGTTGTAAACGCAGTTACATGATCTCGTGGGTCGGTTGTTCCATCATACTTCGGAATATTTGGCATCTTAAACTTTTTTGGAATCAGCAAGGGGGAGGCACTTGGCTTCCAGGGCTATTGTGAACATTTGTCAATATCCACTCCTTTAATTACGGGTGACATACAAGGTATTTATTCTATGCGATCATTCTGCTCCTTAAGCTGCTTCTTCAAAGTTAGTACTAAACTTTGTAACTTAGAATTATTTGGGGTACCTGACCTCCCATCGCGAGATTCGCTGGGAGTTCCTCTGCTGCCTGAATTAGCAAGTCCTGAGCGTGGGTTTTTTATGGTCGCAGTGTTGTTTGGAGGTGGAGTTGGTGGTATAGTTGGCAATCCACTAACAAAAGCTTAAAGGGTATTGTTGACGTGTTCTGCAATTAGTTGTTTCAATGCATCTTTGGCAGTTTGATTGTCCCCTTGTTGAATATTCGTATGTGATGTTGATCTTTGAGGTGACCCCTCTTGGGAGTGTTGAGGAAAATTTTGGAGTGAAGGGATTGGAGTTCCACCCTCTTGTTGATTTTGCTGGTTCTGTTGGTTCTGTTAGTTGTTGTCGTTGGCAGTCGATATGGTTGTTTGACAGAAAAATGAATTTGGAAAGTGAAAAAATTATTAGATTCCCGATAACGGAACTAATTTGTTTAACCAAAATATATCTTTCGGTTAAAAATTAATTTTATAAGAAAACGATCTTTTGATAATCAAGTGTTGCCTCACTTTTCCAATGGTATCAAAGGAAAATAACAATAATAAATAAGGAAATAATTGATTGCAAAGTCAATATAGTGAATTTCGAGAAAAACAGAAAAGTAAAGTGAATATATTCCAATATTGTCTCACATGTCCTTACAAGTGAAATTCTTTCCTCTTATATAGGTTTACACATATAACGTTTCCTTCTATTTATGGCTAAATAATTATGAGCTTTAATGGTATTAATGATCCGTTATAATTGGTAATCGTAACTGTTCGTTAGAATTCTATTACGATTCTGATTCCCCCTCCTCATTAATTGAAGGTTCATGAATCTTCCCTTCTTACGATTCTGATTCCCCCTCCTCATTAATTGAAGGTTCATGAATCTTCCATTCTTACTGTCTTGATTCATTCTTTGCCAGATGTTAGGCCCGGTACTATCTCGTGGGTGTTTCTCTCCCGTGCCTTTTCTTATTCTATCAAACAAGACTTTCACGTATTGTGCCATGTTAGCAGTCTTATATTCCACGTGTAGTACTTTATCACCGCCAGATACAATAAAATTTAAGTAACAATCAAAATAAATATTGTATTTAAAGTAACAATACGATACAATACGATAGGTAACAACCATCCAAACAAGCTGTAACTCAGACAAAAAAAACATATGGCATTCAAATTCTCGATTACTAATTCACATGTAAATGCCCACAAGAAAAACCCTTTTCTACCCACAAAAATGAGCTTTTTAATTCTTCTACAGCACATAATAATTAACATTGAGGTATCAAAGCAAATACTTTAAGCAAACTGAGAATCAACTTGGCTTGTTTTACGGTGTTCGGAATATAATTGTTAAACGGAACTTGTCAACTTACAGAGGTGTCTTTTCGAAAGAAAAAAAGAGACACATAGAACTAATCAACAAGAACTAAGATGGTGCCTCTATTTCCATATCCTCTTTCACAAATCTTGCAAATCTCCTTAGATCTTTCATCTTTTACTTGAAAATTTCAACATTTCCTTTATTTTGCATTCTTAAGCATCTTTTATTTCCAAAATTACAGCTTAATAGACAATAATGAAAACACTAGCTGGTCACCTTTCATTTTGCACCTTAATAGATCCCAAATTTACTTTTTCATTTCATGCTTCCCGTGTGGAATATATATATATATATATCAATGTTTTAAGAAAAAGAAAAATGTCAAATACAGTATACAAGCACTACAGCAAAGATTGGAATATCTGACAGAACAGAAATTGCTCAAAACTACTTCAACAATCCGCTATATTGGCAATGCATTTTCTCTAACATCAACAAAAACTCAAATAAATTATTACTTATAGCGGTACCCTGACAAATCAGATGTTGCAGTATTGCACTAGATTACTACGTATATGGTTTCAAGTATCTACACAGCTATTGGCTTAAACAGTTATATTTCATGAGCAGAGAGGATTGAGAATCCTGCTTAGTATTTGTATCTTGGGTATTTATAGCTTTGTTGCGTGTTTACCTTTCTCTGCCATTAGCTGAGTCACTCTATATCTTGTGAGATTAAGAAATTTTTTTAGTCTACATTGAAACTTTTCCACTTGTCTGCACTTGTAGTAGTTTTATTCTTAATTTATAGTCCTTAGTTTCTTTGTTGGTGGGTGGCTAGTTGTAATGATGGTAGAGTAGGGTCATGTTCTCGGGTAGGCTAGGGGGCGAGGAGAAAGGGTATCGG